AGCTGGGTACAGCAGCCTGCCAGGCTGAGGCGTAAGACAAAGCATCCCGGGGCAGGAGGTGGAAGTGGGGAGACGGGCAGCCACCGTTACCACCCTGGAGGGAAAAGACCGGCTGGAGTGGGGGTACAGGAGTAGGGGGTGTGTAATGGTCCATGCGTTGTGTCAAGTGGACTTTAGAATTTAATTAAGCAACTCAGCAGGGAGCCGGGTCCTCACTTTGTAAACATCCTCAGCCTGCACAAAGGGCACCTTATGGGTGAGTTCCACACCTACCCTAGGGGCACCTGGGTACCACGCTGGGGGCGGAGTGCAGTGCAGTGTGACAGGAGGCCGCTACAAAGCTGGCAGGACTGGTGCACTGTGTGGGGGAGACGGCAGAACTGTTGGGACGAGCATCATACAAGGGACTGAGGAACACAGGAAGCAGTAGCTGGAAATTGGGATCCTTAAAATAAGATGATTGAGGGACTTGGTCTAAGGGCAAGGGAATGACCTTCAGGGGCGGGGGGGGAGGGTGCAACAAAGGAGATAAGACCAAGGTGCTGGGGTATTGGGAGCATCATCCCACATGGTTATCAAAAGCATCAGGACCTGGACTGCAGTCACATTGGAGGTCAGCCAGGAGTGAACTCAAGACGCAAGGGTAGGGCACCCTAGCTGGACTGAGTCCTGCCACAGGGAGGCAGGAGGGTCACCTGACGGGGATTCAAGCAGGGAGAGCGTTAGATTGTGGGGAGGCACCACAGTGCTGGTCTGGCATACAGCTGGGCTCCACAGCTGATGCCCCTGACTACCCCAGGAGCTGCCACATGTCCACTGGGAGGCAGACTGAAGGCTGAGCTAGCCAGACCTTCCTTCCGTGGAGCCACTCTGCCCCCTGGAGGCAGGGATCGGTGACGGGCCAGAGCTGAGCCGCAGAGAGGGCGGATGCCTGGGATTCCTGGAGCCTCAGGGGCTGAGTGAATCATTTCACCCCCTGTTCCTGTTGCCAGAGATCCAGGCCAAAATGTGGGGAGCTAAAGATACAGACGGATCCCAGCGGCTTGGCTTGTGATTTTCCACTTTTGCAATGATGCATTCAGTAGAAATTGTACTTTGCATTTTCGGTTTTGATGTGTTCCCACGCTAGTGATACACAACACAATATTCTCCAGCAGTCACATGATCACGAAGGTAGCAGCTTCTGTGTCCATCACAACCACATGGTGAGGAATCGATGGTAAATGAATTTTAAAATTTGTTACAGCCAAAGACACGTTAATCCCCCTCAAATTCTCCACCTCACGTTGGACACCCATTTCCCGTCACTATGCTCCCTTTCTGAAGACTTCTGGAAGCCCTCTTCCATCAGGGTCTTTAGCTGTGGCTGCCTCATAGTCCGAATCAATTCAACACATTTACTTTTCATGGTGATTTCGGTTTGGGGAAAAAGACCAAAGTCAGACAGTGCCAGGTCCTGCGAATAAATGGATTAGAGATAGCATATTGGTTTTTCACTGTATTTTTTATCAGACCCGGTAAAGGTGTTTATAAAAGAGGACTTCCTTCTGGCTGAGACAGAAATTTGTGTTGTGATCATAGTTTCCTACCCTCCATGTTATTTGTCTCTAGACTGCCAGGTTATTGGTGGTGAATGGGGAGGAGACAGCAGGTGGAAACTGCCAGGCTGTGATACCTCCACCACATACACTTGTCATGAATGCTTACACCCTTCCAGAAGTGGCTGTGCCCAGGGGTGGGCCCTGAAGTGTTTCAAACCAACTCTTCAAGCACAGTTCATAAGTGTTGGATGACATTTTCACCAAAGTTAAGGGGTAAAATCAAAATAAAATTAAGACTCTAGTGGAACTTCACTAGTTCCTCAGTGACTGGGGTGCCTCCTCTCCTGATTCGGGGAATTGTTTTCAAACATTGTTATTAGAAGATTATTTCCTTGATTTTTGTGATATTCATAACATAATGGTTATATGCACGATGTACTTGGAATTTTATCTGTATTAATATTCAATCCATCATTTCCTTGCATCTAGACAATCAACAAGAGAAATAAACAAGCCCTGATGTGTAGAAAATGCCATTTTCTATGCACGAATACTCTTGGCAAGGCCAATTCAAACTACCAGCGTGAGTTACTAAGAACAGAGGTAGAGAGAGATGCTCAGTACCAAACCTCAACAAATTTTAAAAGAACTGAAATTATTCAAAGTGTCAGGTACAATAGTACACACTTGTAATTCTAGCACTCAGAAAGGATCACCACAAGTTCAAGGTCAGCCTGGGGCTACATCATGAGTTCAAGGCCAGCCTGAACTACAAAACGAGACCTTGTCTCAAAAAAAGAAAGAAAAAAAAAACGAAAAAGATATCATACAAAAGATGTTATCTGACCAGATTGGGATCCAATTAGAAACTAATAGCATAAATTAATAGGAAAATCTCTGAACATTGGAGAACTAAACAACACAATTCTAAGAAATTTATGTTGTTAAACAGGAAGTTGAGGAATAAGTTAATACATTGATCATAATAAACATTAAAATACAACACATTAAAATGGATAGGATAAAGGCTAGGGGTTTAGCTCAGCGGCATAAGCACCTGCCTTGCAAGCAGGCAGTCATGAGTTCGATCCCCAGTACCAATAAAAATGAAAAAGACAAAAAAAAGAAAGAAAGAAAATGGATAGGATACTGTTAAATCAGTGGTAAAAGGAAAATTGATAGCACAGAATATTCTTACAACAGAAAACAAGAAAAACCTCAACAATCAAGAGTCCAGGAAAAATCTATAAAAAAAAATATTAAAGACACAGAAACGAAAAGAACAATAAAGAAAATCAAAGTAAAACTTTGGTTCTATGAAAAAATCAATAAAACTGACAAACTTCCAGCAAGACAACAAAGATTAACAAAGGAAAAAAGTAGAGATATTTTTAAAAGAGAGAAAACATATAAATGACCAGAATGAGAAACGAAACAGTGTCACTTCAGGGTGTGTTCATATCAAAAGGACAATAAGGGGACTCCATGAACAACACTACAGGCATAAAGTTGGCAACAAACCAGTTCCCTGAAAAGCAAAAATTATAAGAACTCACCCATAGAAAAGGGTTTTTAAACAATAGAAATTTATTCTCTCAGTTCTTCTGGAGGCCAGAAGTCTAAAATCAGTATCACTGGCCCCAAATCAAACATGGGCAGGGCCCCACTCCCTCTAGTGGCTACGCGAAAGAATTCATGGATTGTTCTAGACCTTGGTTTATAGTTGCGACGCTCGAATCTCTGCCTCTGTGATCGCGATCCGATCGATCGCAATGCCTTATCTTTAGCATTAAATCGTCCTCCACCTCTCTCTTAAAAGGACACTTGCGATGAATTTATGCCTCATCCCAGTCACCCAATACAATCCTCTTATCTTGTGATCTTTAAGTCAATCACAGCTGCGAAGTCCTTTCCTGCCACACAACGTAACACCCACAGGTTCCAGAGATGAGGAAGGACACATCTTTTGGGGACCATTATTCAGTCTACCACAATCTGACTTGGTTGAAATTTTAATGTGCTGCTCTGCAAAAGATCCCAAAGGATGAAAAAACAAGCTATAGACCAGGCAATATTTACACACTGTGTATTCAACAAGGGACTAGTATTTAGAATATGTAAAGAACATTTAAAACTCAACGTTATTTTTTTTAAATCCCGTTATAAAATAGGCAAAAGATATAAGGAGATATTTCACTGAAGAGGATACACATACAAGTGAAAAAATACGGAAATGTTAAATGTTACTAGCTACTGGGAAAATGAAATTTAAATCCACCATTAAATATCACTACACATCTATTAAAATTATTAAAATTTAGAAAGTAGTTTGTCTATATTTGTAATCCCAGCACTCTAGGAGACTGAGGCAGAAAGATCACAGATGGGAGCCCAGGCCCTTGCAATTTAGGGATTTAATGGTACTATCTCAAAAAAAAAAAAATCGTGACAATACCAAATATTGGCAAATTATATGGAAAATATTAGATCACACATATATTGTTAACTGGAAACTACAATGTACAGCCACTCTGGTAAACACAGGGTGGCCAGTTTCTTAACAAACTAAGCATGTAACTGCCATATGACACACTGGTTGCACTCCCGGGCACTTATCCCACACAAATAAAAACTTCACCCAAGGGCCTGTAAACAAGCTTCAGCGCACTGTTACTGAAAACAGTTCCCAACTGGAAACCACACAGATGTCCTTTGAATGGTTAGACAAATCGTACTACATCTATGGCTGGTGTATCCATGGAACCCCCACTCTGCAACAAAAAAAAACAAACTCTTAATACTTGCAAGGACTTGAAATAACTCCCGCCCACAAAATTGCACAAAGGAGGAAGGAATCCTAAAAGTTTACATACTGTCTGACACTGTTTATACAATATTCTTGAAATGACAAAATCCTACAAAGGGAACAGACTGGCCATTGTCATGGGCGAAGGACAGGGTGAGGCTGGCAAGCTGGTCTGGGCAAAGAGAGATTCCTGTGCTACAGGACATGTTTTGAACTTCGACTATCTTACATCAATCTCTTGCTTGTGATAGTTTTACAAGCTTCCCATTGGACGAAACTGAGTGAAAGGCGCACTAATTAGTTCTTTTTTTTTTTTTTTTGTCTTTTCTTTTTTATCGGTACCAGGGATTGAACTCATGACTGCCTGCTTGCAAGGTAGGTGCTTATGCCGCTGAGCTAAATCCCCAGCCCCTCACTAATTAGTTCTTATCCTGGCATTAGAATCTATAATTGTCTCAAATGAAAAAGATTAATTTTTAAATATATATACAAAATATATGCTCGAGTTTTGTATTAGATTCAATAGGCATAAAGTTCATCAAAACGTTAAAACTCTGCTCTTCAAAAAACACCATTAATGTGCTCGCACCGACAGCACCTATACAAAAGACACCACTAAGATAATAAAAAAGTCAAGCCGAAGAATGGGGGGAAATATTTACAATACATATATTTGACAATGATTTCTATCCAGAGAACATAAAGAGCTTTCAGCAGGGGGTGGCAGCACACACCTGTATATAAAAACTAAAGTTTTCAGAATTTAATACATAGAATTCAGCTAAAGCCACAATGATCGAGATGTGACTTTGCAACCACCAATGTAATTAAAATTTTAAAAACTAACATCACATACAAGCCCAAAATGGGGGCAACAAGACCGCCTTACTGCTGCATGGGGGTGTAAAATGGTACAAGCACTTTGGAAAATTGCATGGCAGTCACACCTAGAGGTTTACCCAGGAGATAGGAAAGCACGCGTTCACAAAAAGCCTCGCACCACAGCGCTCGCCCACAATAGCCCCCATCTGGAAACAACCCAAATGTCCATCAGCGAGGCAAAGGCTACACAATGGTGGCATACCTAAACAATGGAATAAAGGGCAGCAAACTATTGATATGTACACACACATGAACCTCAAAAACAGCATGCTGAGCCACAGGAGAGAGAGACAAAAGACCCCGCTGTATGATTCTATTTACGTGAAATTCTAGAACAGGCGAGACTAATCTATAGTGACAAAAAGCGCATCAGCCAAGTTGCCTCGGGCTGGGTAGAGGGGATCTCCGGGGAGCGATGAGGATTTCCTGTGTCTTGATTGTGTCGATGGATATAAATATTTGTCAAAATCATCCAACTGGGGCTGGGGATGTGGCTCGGTGGTAGAGGATTTGCCTGGTGTGCGTGAGACCCCAGGTTCCAACTCCAGCACTGCAAACAAACTGTAGGTAAATTCTAACAACCATATGGCTGATTGTTAAGAGACAAAACATAGCCGGGCAGAGGCAAGGGGAAGCCTAAAATCTCACTACTTAGGACGCTGAAGCAGGAGGATCATGTGTTTGAGGCCTGCCCGGCCTAGGTAGCCAAACCTTGTCTCAAAATCTCACAAGGAAGAGAAGGGGGGGGGGCAAACTATAACCCCACGTTGTGTCTTAGGTTCTACAGACACAAAAGTAAAATTTCTAAATGCTTCCTAAAGTTTTCTGTTCGTAACTCCTCCTCCAACACGGACACGGTTTGCAGACTGGCTGTGGTCCACTTAAGTATCACTGCCTACCCTACTGTGCCAATTGCTCCGGTTCTCTCTCAGCGTCTCTGCAGCCATGGCCCCACACCTCGGCTGGAAACCTGCAGGCCGAGGGGAGCGCAGGCTGCAGCCCCCACCTGGGGTCACTGAGCCTTAAACACGGGCTTGCGCTGCAGGCGCAGCACCCGGTAAGTGTTGAGGCCAGGCACGTCGAAGCCCGGGGACAGCCCGCGAGGGTCTAGGGGGTAGAAGTTGACCAGCTGCCCGTGCTGGGCCTCCAGCGAGAGCCAGGAGTCGCCGAGCGGCAGCGCGCACGGGAACTGGCGGGCCACGTGCAGCTGGAAGACGCGGCCGCGCACGTGGCGCAGGGCGAGCGTGCGGAAGGCGGGCGGCACCAGCGCCTCCACGCGGGGCCCGAACTGGCGCAGCAGCAGCTCGCCCGCCGGCCCGGCGCGCACCTCGTAGAAGGTCCGGTTGGAGAAGGTGAAGTAGCCCGCGAAGGGGCGCGCGCTGGGCGGCGGCGCGGGGCTGCGCTCGGCCTCGCGGAGCGCGCGCTCCAGGGCGGGCACGAGCACGTCGTAGGCGTCGGCCACCAGGTCCCGCCCCGACGGCCGCGGCCCGGCCAGGAGCAGCACCAGGCCCAGGCGCAGCGGCGGCACCAGCGAGAAGGTGGCGGCGTAGCCGTCCAGGTCCCCGTCCTTGCGCACCACGCGGTAGCCCCGCTGCGCGTGGAACTCCCACGGCGTGCCCGTCTCGTTGGCGAAGTAGGCGGCCGGGCAGGCCAGCAGCGGCGCCAGCAGCGTCTTGGCCGCGTCGGGCCGCAGGAGCCGCGGGGCACCGCCGCCCAGGAGCGCCACGGCCAGCTTGGCCAGGTCGGCGGGCGTGGAGTACATCTGGCCCGAGGGCCGGTACCAGCCCAGGTCGTAGAGCGGCGCCGGCCGCCCGCTGCCGTAGAAGCCCGCGGCCAGGCGGGCGCGCACCGACGGCGTGAGGTCGAAGCCCGTGTCCGCCATCCCCAGCGGCTCCAGCACGTTCTCCGAGACCCAGCGCTGGTAGTCACCCTGGACGGTGTGGGCCGCCAGCACGTGCGCCAGCAGCGAGAAGGCCAGCGTGCTGTAATGGCACCTGGAAGGAAGGAGAGCGGGGGTTGCTGGGGGGCGGCTCCTGACCATCTCCGGGGCCCCTGCTGCATGCTCAAGCTGCTGAAATGCCACCGGAGCCTCGGAGGACTGGGTAGGGCTGGGAAGGAGCCTGCACCCCAGACGGCCAGACTAGAAGAGACTTCCGAAATTCTAGGATGTAACCTTGTGTCCTGCACTTGGAAAGACTGCGTCCAGAGGGGAGCAGACTGCTGCCCAGGATCGCACCAGATACGCACATGGAAAGGTGGTAGGACAAATGGTACTGGGCCTTTCCACTCGGGAAAGACTAAAGTCTTAGAGTGTTTGAGGGCGACGAGCGATGGTCATCATGAAACTCAAGAGAAGCAAATATAAGGAGGGGTCTCATCCTCCCTTCTTCCGTTGTGTGTCCCGAGCCTCTAAAACGGAGCCTCAGGAAGGCAAGGGATAGATGTAGTTCTGCACATCATTCGATGTGCTCTGGGCTCGAGGCCACACACCTGGACAGTGAGGTTCGCAAGGAGGTCACATGGCAAGTCAGAGCAGAGCTGGGAGCATCACCGGTCTGCATCATCTGGGCCCCTCCTCAAGGCCAGTGGGGCCTGAGACCCAACATTTGGGGAAGCAGAGGGACATTGGGAAAAGCTGCATTGCCCAGCGTAGGGGTCACCTTGGCAAGACAGTGCCAGCAGACCTCTGTCCAGCCCCAGAGCCCCACTGCTCCCAGAGCTGGGCTTCTCTGTTCTGATTACCCAGTTGTCCCCACCTGGTATCAACAATGCCCATTCATTTCTATCATAGCAGAATCTTTATTTATCCTGTGTAGTGTTTCACTCTCCCCCTCATCAGAATGCACACTCCAGGGGAAGGACTTTGGCCGGATTTGATTGCTGCTGTATGGCAAGGCTCGCACATTCTGGACAGAGTAGTCCTTAGGAAATGTGGGGTTGTTGGCTGGAAGCACACAAGATTCCAACAGAACTCGATTCTGGGCTCCCCTGCACCTGGCTGTGTCTCCCCACCTCTCCTCGTAGGCCTTAGTCTTCCCTCTTGGCTCTGAGCATCCAGGGTGAAGCACTTTCCCAGGGATTGTGTCTCCTGCAGAGGTTCCTAACAGGCATAAGACATCAGGACACAGCCCTCACCTGGTTCCTGGATCGGCCACCAGCACGTCATCCTTGAGCAGGCTCAGGGCCTCCTGGGTGCTGCCCCGCCAGAGCAGCGACGTGGAGCGCAGCCTTCTGGGCAGCCCTGGGGAACAGCAGTGGTCAGACCAGTGGGCCTGGGTTTTACTGGGGAAGTCACCAAGCCTCTCTGAGCCCTGGTTCTTCACCCATACCATGAGGGTACCAGTCCCTATGTTGTAAGGCTGATGTGAGGAGCAGACAAGATAAAATGCTTGGTGTGGTGCCTGCTGTGTATTAACTGCTCCAGAAATAATTGTTAGGCACTGGGGTGGGGGTGCTGGGGCGCCACTCAGTATTACAGCATTTGCCTAGCATTCAAGAGGTCCCAGCTTTGATCCCCAGAACCACACACACACAAAATCTGTCATCAGCTATGAAAAGTTCAATTTCCATAACTTTTTTAAGGGCAGTGATCAAATGTGTTTTGTAGAACTGGCTCCTCTTCTGCTTGGAGTTTTCTGTTGATTGGATGTGACAAGTATTGAAAGAATCACAGGATTGGGATCTGTTCCATCCCTGCATTCATTAATAAATTTTTGCCACCCATGCCAAGAACTATTTTAGGTGTTGAGGACTCAGCAGGGAACAAAACCAAGTCTCTGCTGGTGTGGTGTTGACATTCTAGTGGAGAGGACAAACATCAAGCTAACAAATAGTTGTGCTACATAGAAAAATATTTCAATGAGAGGAGTTGGGTTTTTTTTTTGTTTTGGTTTGGCTTTTGTTTTGTTTTGTTTTGTTTTTTGGTACCGGGAATCAAACTGAGGACCTTGCACTTGCCAGGCAGCCACTGAGCTATAGCCCTGGCCCTAGAGTTGTTATTTTATACAAAGTGGTCACCTTCACACCGAAGGTGACCGTTAATGGGGTAACATCTGAAGGAGATGTGAGCCATACAGCTGTAAAGAAAGGATGTGTTAGGGAGCGAGAACAGCAAATACAAAGGCCCTGAGGCAGGCATGCGTTGATGTTGACATATTTGAGGGGCAGAATGGAACAGCCAGTGTGGCTGGAGAGAGAAAAAGATAGAGGTCAGAGGTCATAGATATTGGGGTGCAGGTACAAGGTCCCTATAAGACCCCACCTGGGAAGGACTTAGCTCTCCCTTTGCACGGGATGGAGCCACTGCAGAAGTTTTGAGCAAAGAAATGACATAAACACTTCGGGAGTGGGGGGAAGCGCTGGGGTAGAGCGAGGGGCCTCAGGAAAGACAGCCTAGAATGGGGTTCTTCAGGCAGCAGCCTGCTCAGCTGGCCTCCTTGGGACAGGGGGGAGCCTGGAAGGGTGTGAAACTGACAGCTCACGGTGCCCTCCTGTGTATGAGTGAAGAAGCCACTGTGTACCCCTGGGGGGAGCCCTAGAGTCACAAGGGCCCCTACCGGCACCTGGAGGCTTACTGGGTCCTCACCTGGTTATGCTCAGTAACCCAACACGGCGTTAACCGCAGTGTTGTCTTCTCCCCCTTTGCTGAGTCAGTCACCACGAAGCAAGGTGTCCCTTCCCGCTCCTCTAAGCCAGCAACCCCCTCTGTGGTGACACGGGGGGCATAAAGGCCAACACGGGGCCCTCCTGAAGCACCCAGAGCAACCCCTCCCCTCCAGCCTGGGTCCCTCCCTAGACTTCCCGCCCAGCTGCTGCGGTCCCCTGCTTTGTGTCCGAGCGCCAGCCTGCTTTTCTACCCTCCACCCTGTCCCCCTACCCTTTTTTACCCCTCTACCCCACCCTCCACCCTGTCCCCTTCATTCAGGCTTGTCGGCACACCTTTATGATCATCATATAAACTGATTTTTATTTTATTTTATTTTGGTCCCGGGAATTGAACTCACGACCTAGCACTGGACGGGCAGGTGCTTATGCTGCTGAGCTAAATCCCCGGTCCATAAGTGGATTATTATGTAAGTTATAAGTGGTTCATTGACATGATCCAAAATTTGAAGGACACCACAAATTTTCCTCTTAGTCATCTTCCCAGTTCTCCATTTCCCCTCCCTGGAGGCAACCTGATGTCTCAGTCTCTAATTGCTTCCCTAATGTGTGGTATAGAATTGTACATTATGCATACATTATACATGTAGATAAATGCTACCTATATTCACACAAACACTTCATATGTGCCTGTGAACATTTTTGTTCCCTATTTATGTGGTAGTATTCAATGTGTGCTCTTAAGAGATTTTCTTCTACAAATACTGTATTTTATTTTATTCCATCTCAAGACACAAAGACTATTTTTACCTTTTTAGGGCTGCATAGTATTTCTAAAGTTGTGGCATAGTTTAGTTATTCCCCACTGATGGGCATGTAGGTTGTTTCTCTCTTTTGTTACTACAAGCAAGTAGCAAATTACTGTAATTTACACACACGTGTACTGGGAGTGAACCCAGGGCCTTGTGCATGCTAAGCACCTGCTGTACCACCAAGCTACCCTTCTGATTCCTGCACTTTCCATCGTGGTGACTTGCCAGCTGCCCCCACATGCAGTTCATCCCTTTACATCCCCACCAGTGATGGAGAAGAGGGTCTGTTTCCCCACACCCTCACCAGCTCAGTGCACCCACTATTTTTATCTTTGCCAAACTAGTTCTTAGGGAAGAAACATGGAGTCTCTGTGTAGTATTACTGTGCATCAGTTTTGTTATGGACGAGACTGAGCATCCTGTAATATTTTTAAATATCCTCCAGGGCCTCTGCTGTGAGCTGTCTGTTCTGTTCTCTCCTTCGCCTGTGTTTCTGCCTGGTGCCCAGGTGCCGTGAGGATGTGCACCTGACCTTTACGTGCATATTGAGGGCTGCTGCACCTGGCAGAATTGCCTCCAGATACGAGCTGGGTGGCTTGCGGTAGACCTGAGAAGCAGATCCTGGCCTGTCAACTTGATTTTCACCTGAAAACTGATTTGCCTGCTTGTGATGTGAACTCCTGGCTTCGCTTCAGCTTGCACCTCTTGAGAACTTTCTATCCCCGCCCACTACCCAAGCCCGGGGTGGGAACATGGCCAGTGCAGGACGCAGAGCTGGCTGGCTGGGACCCTGTGACCCAGTCCCCACCTGATGTAGTTTAGGTCAGGCCAGGGAGCCCGGAGACTCACCTGAGAGCTGGCTGGCCATCCTCCGGAGAGTGACAGGCGAGGGCCTGGGAGCCGGGCCCGCCTCGTCTAGCCCATCTACCAGGCCCTGGTGCTGGAAGGCCGAGGCCGTGCCCAGCGGGTTGTGGATGGTGAAGGTGCTGGCGTAGCGCTCCAGGGGGTCATCCAGGGAGGCCACGGTGCCCTCCTCCCACAGCCGGTACAACATGAGGACCGGGAAGATCTTAGAGAGGCTGGCGATCCTGCGCCATGAGGGGGCACAGTGCAGAGGGCGACCTGTTGGTCTACAGCCAGGCCCTGCCCGGGACCCCCAGCTCCCACACCCCAGTGCGCTAGCAGACTGAATCCGCCCTAGTCAGCATCTCAGATGGAAGTGTCCCGGGAGGTCAGCAGCTGCCTTTGGACAGAGGATGCTTGAGGACCTACCGGAAGCAGAGGGCCAGCGGGACGGATGGGCCCTCCTGAGCACCCTACCTATGCCAAGGCCAGCCTAGGTTGATCTTTCCGGCCTCTCGCTGACCGTGTGACTTTCCTGAGGCAGCTCCCCTGTCTGCTGCACAGGGCAGGAAAGGAGCTAAAAGAGCACAGTGCTTGCTGGGCTGCGCCCCGGCCTGGCATGGAGCGGGGCAGTGTGAATGTTAGCTCCCCTGGACCCCGTCATCCCCACCGCATCCCTGAGAATGACTTCGCAGTGTGAGCTTTGGGGGGGCACTCTGGGGGTGCAGCTCAGTGTCCCAAGCTGCTTCCATCTGAGACACTGCTGTCAACTCACGGGGACCTGGGGCGAGGGCCCAGGAGCTGGGTACGGGTTTTGGTGGCATGTGAAGAGGTGGGTGGCACAGGGCTCCCTTTGCAGTTTGGCAGGTTTGGGACTAAGGTTTCCAGGAGAGGACCCCGCTGACCCCTGTTGTGTGACCCCGGGCACTCACTGGTCCCCTCTGGACCTCAGCCTCTTCCGTGGACCTGCCAGGACCTAGTCATGGGTGCGGGCAGCCTGGGTGCCTCAACCATGACTCCCTTAGGTCTCTCCGCCTCCTGGGTCCCTTGCCCTCCCACCCTACACCGTCTGCAGGACCCTGGAGATCACCCAGCTGACCGGTACATGGTGTACTCATTGGGGGCCCCAGAATTGGGGTCTGAGCCATTCTTCTTCCCAAAGTTCCCGGTCCAGAGCACGGTGTCATTGTGGATGACAACTGCAGACATGGCAGCCAGGCCTGGGGCAGACATGGCCTGGCGCAGGATCCCATGAACCTGGGAGGAGAGGGCCAGAAGGCTCAGAGTATGGGTACAGGGCCACTCTCTCTCCAGCTGGTCCCAGCCATGCCCCATGGGGGACCCAGCTTGGCTTGGAAAAGCTCCCCCCGCAGGCTGTGTTATACATAGGGGCTCCCCCAAAAGATTTTTGCTCGAGGAAACATTTTCTTAGCAAAGTAAAAAAAAAAAAAAAAAAAGAGGGGGAGTTAAGGATGTAGTTCAGTGGTAGAGTCTTGTCCAGCACCTATGAGGCTGTGGCTCCCATCCTCAATTAAAAAAAAGTGGGGGGGGGCAGGTTTAAAACCACTGATTTAATCGAACCCTTGTCTGCCCTAGAACAACCTCCCTGAGACTTAATCAAGCACCTGTGTTGAAGAATCCACTGTCTATAGGCCCCTCGTGGAACATTCCTTAAAAATACCTTGTTATTTTCAGTGAGGAATTATAAGGATGATGATAATAGCTAATTTGGGGGGATATTTAGAATTTGCCAGGCATGGCACAAAGTGATTTTCATTCACTGTTTTACTTAATCCTCATAGGAAGTCAGTGCTAATCTCTCACCATTTAACGAATGAGAAAGCAGAGTCTCTGCGACATGAAACGCCTTGCCCGCATGCTAATAGCTGCTGGAATCAAGAGCAGGCCCCTTCCTAAGGACAGCTGGACACCCCGTCCAGGGCTGGTGCTCACCACGTGCTCAGCAGAAGACAGCTATGGTGATTTCTGTCACTCTGTGTTTCAGTAACTATGGCCCCCTGTGCCGCATAGCACCCTCTGCTCCCCCTCCACCCTGGAGCTCCACGAATCTCCCCACTGGCCCATGCTCACCTCACTCTCATGGACTGGTCTTCACCCCCTTTTCTTCAGCAGCTATTTGATGCCAGTTTCAAGCCTCCCCACCAGGCTACTGTTCATGTACTTCTGAGCATGTTTCCTTTGTCTCTGTGACTCCTAAAGTAAGGGACCTAAGTGTGTGGGGCCTGATGGCCCAGAGCAGGTGCACCTGTGGCAGTAAGCATTATGCTGTAGTATGCATGTGCATGCCTGTATTTCATCATATTGTGTGTACCATGTACTTAGTCTGCTGTCTCAGGGCCTTTGCACATGCTGCTCCCACTGTCTGGAACACAACCCTACATCCCCAAGCTCCCTGAACCCACACATGTATCATCTGGGTATCTATTTATTCACATCTCACCATAGATACCGTTACCTCCAGACCCAAAGGCCAGTTCTTTAGTGCCTCCACAGTCCTCTCACCTTCCCTTATCCCTAGGTTAGAAACATTTGTTGTCTTGACAGTTCCCTTAGTTCCCAGGCTAGGTTTCTAAAAGGCCAGTATCTTCTTCCTGATGTCTCTGGTGCTGAGCACAGAGTAGGCTGAATGGATGTCACTGCTGGTAAACAGTGCTCCCCTCCACCACCCAGCCTTCCCATACACACCCATCCCCTCCCGGGTCATCGCTGACCTTTTCCAGGGCCTCCTTCAACACAGGGAGTGGGTGAGCCAGAGGCACAGGTTCAGGGTGCTGGGGACACATCCTCACAGGCGCAGAGGTCACCTCTGGTCCCAAGGAACCTGGAGAGAGCATGGCGGGATCAGGATAGGAGCCGAGGGGTCATCCTGGAGGAGGAGGAGGCCAGAGTCATGCCTCAGAGACGGTCTTCCCAGCCAGCAAGAGGGTACGGAACCGGCCACAGCACCAAGGTGCCAGGCAGAGAAGGCCCAGGCCACAGTGCCACTGCCGCCTGGCCTTGGTGACTCCCATGAGACACAGGTCCTGCTGCTGGGGGCCACGCCCTGTGCTCCACCAGCTCGCTCCCTCTGTGTGGTCCGTGGCCCCAGCTCCAGCTCTTTAGGGCAGGCTCAGGGTATCTGTCCATCGGCCTCTCCTTCCTCATGCTGATTTTGTCTGTTGGGGTGGACTAGGAGCCCCATTGGCTTCAGGCCTTGAACACCCAGGACAACTCTGTCACCAGAGATGGGCATCAGGCATCTGGGCCTTACGTGTGTTCTGGCTTTGTCCAGGGTGTGGGTGCCCTGGAACCACTGGGAGCAGCTGCAGCTGGGGAGGGGACAGGGCAGGATTCAGGCCTGCTATCTCCCTGCAGCCCCCAGGCCCTGCCTTCTCCTGAGGCTGATGCGAGAGGGTCAGGGGTCTGGGAACACAGGCTGGCACGCGGTTCGCTTTGGGAATGGCGTGAGGCTGGACAGTGCGACTTACAGCACAAGGCCTTAAGGGACTTGCTTCGTAGGGACACTGCCACCTTGTGGACAGGCCTGGGATGAGGGCTTTGCCAGAAGGAGACACTAGGAGCGAGGACCCTGTCCAGGCTGACCTGCCCGATGCCCTGGACAGAGCCCAGGTTAGATGCCCAGCAGAACTGCCAGCCAGCCCAGGGTCATGAGAAATAACCAGCCAGTCGGTTTAGGATGGCTTGTCACTTAGCAATAGATAAAACGGGAAAACTGCCTGAGGACGTTTCTCTCAACGAGTGAATGGCATAGGTTTGGGACTTGCCTCTGTGAGTTGGGGAGAAGGTAGGACTGTACAGGTGTGCAGGAAGCTACCCTGGACCCTTCAGACACAAGCTTGATTTGGCGATGGGGGAGACAGCGCGCTGGGCGACGCCCACAGGAGGGCAGGACCTGGGTCTGTGCCCTCTGCGGATCATAAACTGTTTATTTCTTTGTGACAAATTATGTACAAAGTTGGAGAAAAGGCATGAGAATATTTTGTTTTTGTTTTTGAACACTGAGAATTGAATCCAGAACCTTCTTACTGAACTGCATTCCCAGGCCGTTTGTTTGTTTGTTTGTTTGTTTGAGAAAAAGTCTCACCAACTGGCTAAATTGCCCAGACGAGGCTCAAACAGAGACTGCAATTACAGGCATGCACCACTATGGCTGGATCGTCTTAGAAACTTTTGCAGCAGTGTGACAGCGTAATTTTACATTGGTGGAATCCAATAACAACATTTGGGCTTCTGTATATTTATGTCTTTTTAAAAATTTCCCTAGTAATTCATTTTTATGTGTTGTGGGGGTTTTGTTTTTATTTTTATTTTTCAGACAAGGTGTCACTATGAGCTCACTATGCAGTCCAGGCTGGCCTTGCACTTGAATGTAGCCCAGTTTTGTGATCCTCCAGCCTCAGCCTCCCGAGGGAAGGGGTTACATACGTGCACCACCACGCTCTGCCACTCTTAGGTGTTTGTAGTAGCACCAGTCCCCTCTGGCTTGACAGTTTGACAGTTTGAGGAGCACATTCGTGCGGCACAGACCCTGCCTACTTGAGATCTTTTTACTTGAGAAATTAGGGAGCCCCTCAAAAAAGGAATTTATCCTGGAAAAGAGATGGATGAGAAAGGGACAAAAAAATAAAAAGAATCATGTCCATAAAAATTTCTATGGAATTTTGAGAGCCCAGAGCACTCACTGAGCTTTGGGACTTCGTTAACACAGGTGGCCCAGGAATGGAGAGAGGCACTGTCCCCCACTGCAACAGAGACCTGGGTTCTGGGCCACCCAGGACCCCAGCAGGTTGGAGGGTCCCAGGCTGCCATAGTAACAGAGGGCTTTCTCGCTGGCCTAGAGCTGCTTAGGAAGGAGAATCTCTAAAAAGTGGAAGTCACCGTGCAGAGATCCCCTGGGGTTCTTAGCCTGTGAGAGTCTTTGGAGCATGCTGGTCAAAAGTAGAAGAGGGAGGTAACAGTTTGCACTGTTGGAGGACCCTGAGTTTTGCTCCCCCCAGACTGGGCAGCTTGAGGAACCCCAGTGTATTAGGGTTTGCATTGTACACGTGGCAGCAGTGAGCCCGGGAGGACCTGCCGGGTGGCCCAGTACTCACCGGTCTGCAGCTTGGGGAGGTGGTACTGCCACAGGAAGCAGCCAGTCATGACCACCGACAGCAGGAAGAGGAGGCCACTGGAGGCCGGGAAGAGCCACCTCTTGATCGCTTTCGGCAGGCGGGGCTGCCGGCCAGCCTGGAACATCAAGGACACCGCGTGGTCCACTGGGGCTCCGCACAGAGAGAGCAAGGGATCTCCTCTGTCACTTCCTACGTCTCGCTCTCATAACCAGAGAGGCCAGAGTTTTGGATACATGTCACACCGATAAGCATGCACCACCCCCTTTGGTGGCTCTGCCTGGCACGTGCACCCATTCCGAGCTCAGCCTGCCACACCCCCGCCTCTCCCTGAGCTTAGCAGAATGTGTAGCCTAAGACTGGCTGTAATGCCACCTCCTCCAGGAAGCCCTCCCCAGCTCTGCTCACCCATGTCCCCTGCTAAGGCGCTTGGAACAAGCCTGCAAGGGAGTGCAAGTCCCTCTGCTGCTCGTGGCCACTGCCCCCACACCCTAAATGGGGCCACCTGTCCTGCCCTCTCCCCCGAGGCTCTGGCTTTGGCTTTGTCCTGGGTGAACAGTGCACTCATGTGGAGGGCACACTCACTCCTCCAATTCTGTGAGCTTCCGTGTAGGAAGGAAGCACCCTGCAGGCCTGCAGAAAGCTCCCAGGATGGGGCTGGCGCTGCCTGAGGGTGGCTGGTCCCACCACCCAATCCCCTCGCTGCTCTGCTCTGAGAAAACCTCTGTAAGGAGAGGGGGGCTGTTTGGCGGTGTTGGGGAGGCTGGGCTGAGTGAGGTCTGGGGAGCAGGTTGGGGGCAGGCAGCTGGGGTCAGAGATGAGAGCCCATCCTGAAGCCCACAGAGGGAGGAAGACAGGTGAGGAGGGGCCGAGGTGTTGAGATGAAGGGCCTGTGGCCTCCCAGCCCCCCAAAAGAGCTGTGGGCTCCTCCTGCACAGCCAACTTAGAGCCAGGAAACACAGGTCCCCTCCAGCCGAGAGGCGTGTGCCCGCCCTGATGAGGAAGGTGCTGCCCATCCCTTAGCGTTGTGGATGAGGCTCAGAGGAGTTAAGTGACTTGCCCAAGATCACACAGCTACTTGCAGAACTGAGATTTGAATCCATAGCCCGTTCTCCAAGCTCCTCAGGCAAAGCTTTGGCAGAGCTGTAAGGCTCACTGATTGAACCTTCTCATCTCCAGGTGGACACAGAGCGGTTAAGTGATTAGCTCAAGGTCACAGTGCAAGGTGGCAGTGAATCCATTCTGTCCCCCTCTTAACCCCTGGGCCTCACAGTGTGACCTCTTCTGAACCCCTCGCTGCCCCTGTCCTTTCCCAAGCACCCGTTAGGCACCAGGCACCTTTCCAGCCAGGGAACCAGCCTCTCAAATGTCAGCCGCATGGAAGCTGGAGTGCTGTGGCAGGCCTGCTCCCTGGCTGGCCCAGCAGGGCAGGGGCGAGTTCCTCCCCGTCCTCCAGTGTTTCTCTAATACTTGGCCCAGTGGTTTTTGCACAGCAGGCATCTGACAATCTCTAACACCCACGAAGCGTCTACCAAAGGAGAGACACTTTTCCATGCTGTTATTTTCCTGGTTCTCAGGAAATGCTTTTGAACTTCACATCATCGTTCTGCAAACTGAGAGACTTAGGTTCAAATCAATTGTTGAAGAAGTGAATCGGGCTGTTGGGCAAGAGTTCACTTTTGCATCTTGAGCTCCCACTGCTTTTCAGCTGTGTCTTCCAGCTCTAGAACTTGGGTTCACACTGAAGCTATTCTTTATTCGTACTTTCCGAGAACCGGAATCAACCCAGATGTCCTGCAGCTGGTAAATGAGTAAGCAAAGCGTGGTACACTCACGGGATGGGATACTGTGCCGCAGTTAAAGGCATGGATACTGACACGTGGAGTAACGTAGCTGAGTCTCTAATGCATGGTGCTGAGTGAAATAAGCCGACTCAAAGGGCTCCAGGCTCCATCAAGCCATGCAACATTCTGGAAAAGGCCAAACTAGAGGGACAGAAGACAACTCAGTGGTTGCCTGGGCACTGAGGGAGGAGGTTATAAAAGAGCAGAAGGAGCTGGCATAGTGGTGCCCATCTGTAATCCTTGCAGGAGGTAGGAGGATCAAAATGTGTACCCAGCCTGAGCAATCAGCAACTTACCAAAGCCTGCCTCGAAATACAAAATAAAAAGGTTGCAAATGTAGCTCAGTGTAAAGCTTATTCCATTCCCTGTCCTGGAGGAGGCGTGGAAGACAAACAAAAAACCAGAAGGAGCAGAAGGGAGCCTGGGAGGTGACGGCTGGTCTCTGTCCTGACTGTGGGGGTCTCGGGACTGTCTGCATTGGCAACACTCACAGGACTTGTGGCTCCTGCTGTTTGTAAACGATCCCTCAGTTGCACCTGCGTGTGACACAGGACATAAGGTGGCCCCAGCGCCGTCAGTTATGTATGGAGCGCACCCCTTTCAATCAGGAGCAGAGACCATGCGGCAGCACCAGTGAGGGCCCGGGAAGCACACAGCTCAGCTCCCTTGACTGCAGCACCCTCGCTGTGACCGGGCAGCCTCGCCCAATACAGCGGAAGCAGGAAACTCAGGGACATTCGCTGAGGCCGTGAGCAGCAAAGGCGGAGCTGAGACCCAAGCTGTTCTGGGCACCAGGCACCTACCGCCACACGCCACCGGCACTCTGCACCTCTGGCCCATGGTTCTCCGCTGGGCACAGCCTCAGCGCCTGCCTGTCTCCTAACCCAGGATTTAGTCCAGAGGCTAGCAGGGGCGCCTGTAGTTAGCCTCTAAGCTGACTGGAGCTCCTCTCCTCCTCCCAGCTGGAAAATGCAGGCTCCTTCAAAGCTCACCCTGCCACAGCTCCCCGCTCCTCTCCTGTGATCTGCAGCACCCCCCATCACCCTCGAGTCCTTTGCCTTAACCCACTGGGGACGGCAACTCTTTTTTTTTCAGTCATTTGTGCATTCATTCATTCATTCATTCACTCAGAAAATGGTCCCTAAGCGCCTGCTCTGTGCTGGGCCACCCCTGCCCCCAGGGAGCCAGCCGCCCCCTGGAGGGGGACCAGAGCCAGGGCCAAGCAGAGGAAGACTTGGTTCCGGCCCTGCCCTTCCTAACTTTGCCCTCGATAGCTTGAGGTTTCAACTGCGTAACAGAAGCAATGATGATGCCACATCTGCTAGACTTTAGGTGATGGCAAATGAGGTAGCGCCACAAAGCCGCTAGCCCTGGCTGACTGCTGCTAGAATTGTAATAATTTCTCAGAGAGTCAGACAGACGCAGGCACAAACAGAACAATGCAGAGGCCTCAGGGCTCCGGGAGCAGGGCCCCTGATCCAGGAGTCACTGCGCTGGAGGTCGGGAGGTGTTGGGCGCTCCAGGCAGAGGCTGGAGGTTTGGCAAGGCAGATGTGTGACTTCTGCTTTGCAATCAGAGAGCTTACACCAGCCTGACCCTGGCCCAGGAGCAAGTTCTGCGGGGTGGGAGGGTGACCTAGGGCAGTGCTGGTACGGTTCCCTATAATACTATGCCTCACCTGGGTCTTCATTTTCTCCAAAGCATGGAAGATTCCAGCTCCTTGAAGATTCAGGTCTACACTCAAGAAGTTCTCATAGGCAAGAAGTTGAGTCAGAGAAGTGCAGACAAAAAGCCTGGGAAAGAAAAGAGGGGACAGAGAGCTCCGAGAAAACCCAGAGAGGGAGCCAGGCATGGTAGTGCATGCAGGTAATCCCAGCCCTCTGGAAGGCTGAAGCAGGAGGATTCCAAGTCCAAATCCAGCCTGTGCAACTTGGCAACTTAGCCACAGACCCTATCTAAAATCCCTGGAGATGTGGCCCAGTGCAAAGGCCATGGTTCAGACTCCAGTAACACACACACACACACACACACACACACACACACACACACGCATGCACAGGCCAGAATATAAATGGCACAGTCTCTCAGTTCACATAACCCCACCCCATGGCAAAGGAAGCGGCAGCTTGGAAGCCCCATCCACCTGCCACCCAGCTCTGCTTGCCGGGCTGTCCTGATTTCAGGGCTACAAGTCTTACACTTCCAGGAATCCCTCAGGCCCAGGTAAACCAGGACAATGGCTTCTCTACCTGCCACAGCTCCTAATTCTAGCCGCTCTGCCCGTCCAGCCTGCTCAGAAACAACCCTGCCAGTCCTGGAGCTCTGGGCCACGACCTACCCTCTTCCACAGGGCTCCAGGAGAACGAGTGACTCAGGCCGCCACGGCTGACCAGGGCCTCCGCAGCCCCGTGCTCTGCAGCACTGACAAGGCTTCCCGGACTCTGAGGCGCAGGCTTTGCCTAAGCCGGCAGATGTGGTGCCTAATTTCCCAACCGCTAATCCCACTGCATCTCCTGTGCCCAGGGGATTAGTTCCAGGGTCCCTGGCAGCAGGGCAACGAGGGCAGGTCTGTCAGGGCACACTGGGCACACTGCACAACCCCAGCTGCTCCAGGCCAGGTGACACAGGAATGCTCTCTCCAGAAGGAGGCTCTGCCAAGCCCAGTGTGGAGGAGAGGGGACAGACAGTGGCCATCAAGGCCTGAACTAAAGGCCCTCCTGGACCCCATCCCAACCCTATCCCATCCTCAGGGAGCCTTGGGGATCCCAGGCTCCGGGGAACACAGTCTGACCTAGTTGTTAAATATTCAGATGACTCGGTTTCAGATCCCAGTTCTGTCACTGCCTGGGACCCCGGGTGGGTCATGATCTCTGCTTGTCCATCTGTAAAATGGGGATGGTGACAATATATGGATGGGCCTGAGGATTAAACTGCAGGGTGCTTGTAAAGCAGGCAGCCCAGAGCCTGGCCCCTGGTAAAGGGCTCCACAAAGGTGGGCTTTGTGTTTCGACTCACATTTTACGCCAGATTTGCGCCTGGCCCTGGGGCAGATGTTAGGTCTTTCTCTGGAATTGCATCGCTATTGATTTCAGTTAACACATACAATAAAATATATTTGCCATCTCAGCACCAGATATGACAGCACCCTGGAATTACCTAGGAGTGTCCCTTCTCCTCTTTCTCTCCTTTTTCCTCCTCCTCCTCCTTCTTTCACTGGTACTAGGATTGAACCCAGGGCCTTCACACTGAGCTACATCCCTTATTCTTAAGGGATTCTTAAGAGCTACATTCTTATTACTTTTATTTTGACCCAAGGTTGCACAGTCGCTAAAGTGCCCAGACCGAGCTTGAAGTTGCAATCCTCCCTCCTCCGTCTCCCAGAAAGCTGACATTACAGTGTGCACCCAGGACCTTTTTACAACCTCTCATACCTGGGTGCCCAGAGATGTGCAGGGCGGTAGCCTGGGCGTGACAGGTGTAGGAGACCCTTCGTGATTCTACTGCGTGCACAAAGTTGAGAACCACTGCCCCCGACCAGCACGCCTCCAACTTGTGCCGAGGCACGCCTGGGGGTTGCATTAAACTGCTCATCCCAAGCCAATGAGTCAAGGGAAGACTTCAGAATCTACGTTTCTGACGAGCTCCCAGGGTACCCCTATGTTGGTCTGTGAACCACACTTTGAGGCGCGCGGATTCTCTGCAGCTGGTAGATGGCATCATCATCTCCATACAACCTCACAGCTGGGCAGGACTCAGACTGAAATCTCCTCCTGCTGTGCTCAGGGTTCAGCATGAGGTCGGGCGGAGGATCACCCTCGGTAGCCCCCGTGGCCAAGAATCTGAGGGGCTTCACCCCACATTATGTGGCTGGCCAAACAGGCTCAGGGAGGCTGAAATGACAGTGACAGCCGTTACGGCCGGCACCCAGCTCCTTGTCATGCACCTGGGTGCTTGGTTGTTCTTCCCTGCAGCTCAGAGCGGACTGGGCAGTCTGAACACTGACACTGTGCCAGGTCCGGGGCATGGCGTTTTCTGGGTTATGTCCTTTGATCTGCACACTAATCCCCCAAAGCAGAGTCCATTCTGCCCCATTTTATATCCAAAGAAGCACACACTCAGTGGAGTGAAATCCGCGGGAAGACGCAGGACCAAATATCTGAGTCAGTTAATCCACTCCAGGGTCCTGCAAGCCTCGCCCTCGAGACACACAGCAGCTGCTCCAGGAGTGATTCTCCAGCCAGCTCCAGCTGTCACCTGTGACTTGGCCGCGGGCCCTCCACAGATTAGTCCGGCCTGAATCCACAGCTTGTCATACAGCAGAGTGGCCACCAGGTGGTAGCAGACGCCAACATATACAATCTCGGGGGCTTGTGTCTCCATTAGGTTTCATTTAGTTAAGGGCAGCTCTTCCTCCAGGCTGACTTCCAGGCTTTCCACCCTGGATTAAAGACAGAACACACCAAAAGGGAAATTTGGTGTCCACACAGCAAGTGCCCAGCAAATGTTGGTTACTGTTATTACCTTTGGTCTGAGGGACCTCTCCTCTCAGGAAGATCATTATCCCCACCCTTGGCATCAGGACTGTTGCAAAAAAAGAATATAGTTGGAAAGCTATCACGACAATAAAATTTTTAAAAGGAAAATCTTTTTTTAGTGAAGGATATGTGAAGAGTCTTATCAGGCCTTGACCAATTTACTGACTTATCCATTCGATCACTTTGTCATTCAATAAATACTTACTGAGCATCTGCCACTCACCAGGTCTCACAGCTGAGTCTGAGGGACGATACGACAGCCGAGCAGATGTAGTGACAGATGCTCACTGTCATGTCGTACTTGCTGAGCAGCTGTTTAGGGCTGGGCACTGCTTGAAGTGCTTCGGTAACAACACAGACCAAGACCCCTGGCCTCAGAGAGCTTGTCTTCCAGCAGGACAGCATAGTGCACAAGTGATACCTGCCGTGGAAGCTAAGTCGAACCCGTGGCTGTGCGGTCCGTGGGTTGGCTGGGATGCGCCTCACTGAGGGGTGCATCCTCTGAAGGAAATAAAGGGAAGTGGCTATGTGGATGGAAGAGGGAGAGCGTTCCGGGCAGAGGGTCCAGCATGTTAAAGGGCAGGAAGGCCGGTGGCTGGAACGGACCAAGGAAGGGGCACAGTAGTAGAGGCTGGGAAGCAGTGGGTCAAGGAGGTCTTGTAGAGCCTCCTACCAGGACCAGGCCGTCCACTCCTAGTGACAGGGAGCCTTGGAGGAGTTCGGAGCAAACGAACACATGCTCTGACTCACCTTTCCTTTTTTCGTTTTTTAAAATTTATTTTATTTTATTTTATTTTGAAAGTAGTAAAAATATAACAGAACAAGACAGAACAAAGCCAATCAAGGCAATGCATTGAAATCAATATGGAACTTCACAGCAGGATACTGGGATGTTGGTCATAGGTACTATTGTATATCTCGTTATCTTCACAATAGTTGTCCAGTTGATTAGGTGTAGCAAAATCAAACCAAAAACAGAACATTATAAAACCAATTAAGAGTACTGAATAGAGCAAAAGAAACATAACAAAACAGTGAAAACAACCTTTACCTTTAAGCAGAACATAGAAGGAAATCCCCCATATTTGCTATATTGCATATGGTCATCCTCCCAAGAGATGCCAAGACCTCTGTTCCCCGTAGCTACGGGGGGAGGAGGGGTATTTCATTCTCAGCCCGCGGTAGGCTCACAGAAGCCGCTGGTTTTCTTCCTGGCCCACGCCGGGAGTGCTTACCAAAAGGATGGCAGACTCACCTTTTTAAAGGAGCACTATATGTTTGTTTTCTGTTACTGTAACAAAATACTTCAAGCTACAAACTCCTTAAGAAGCAAAGAGGTTTATTTAACTCACAGTTTTGGAAGCTGAAAGTCCAAACTGCATGGTTGGGCCATGTGCAGGCCACTGCCAGACTGGAACAGACAGACTCCAGCTTCTCCCTGTGAGTCAGCGCCATTTGTGGACTGGAGGTAGAGATAGGAAGTCCACACCAGGAAGCAAGCCCTGTCTGAGAGCCAGTGCCACGCGCAGGCCGCCGCTGGACTGGAACAGCCAGAGCCCAGGCCCTGTTGGCCCGCAGGCTCTCTGGAGAAACAGGCTGTGATGATAGCTATTGAGGTGAAATGCAATTGGATGCCTGCGGTGCTTTGTGTCTCACTAACACTGCAGGTCCAAGGCCAGTGGTCTGGTCATAGGCTCAGAGGATAGCGACACACGTGTGACTTTGGGGGGGTCTCCTTCTGAGAGTTGCAGCCACTGTTGATTCCCCTGGTCTTGTTTTGGAAGCTCTATAGTTTCCATTGTATTGTTCGGTTGGATTTTACTTTCGTTTTGATTATGTCAAATCTGATGGCAGGAGCAGCTATTTCAAAGACAGCAAGAAATATAAATATGGTAGCCACTTTGGGTTTACTATTGGCTTGTTTTGAAGTCCTTTATTGCATACGCTGTTTTGCTCTTGTTGTTTCTATTTTATTCTGTTCTGTTTGATTTTTACTATGCCTGAAGTTATCTGCAGCTATCTGGAAGACGTCAAGAGACATTATGGTAACTATTGTTGATTTTGTAATGTTTTGAAGTCCTGTATCTCTTACACTGGTTTGTTTTGATTGGTTTAATTCTGTTTTATCCTCTTTAAAATAATAATAATAATAATAAAACCCTGCATGGCTGGCTCTGGGCAGCCCCGTCTCTGCCAGCTGCACCAGATCCTGGTGCATGAAGTCATGGGAGGATGCGTCTGAGGAGGGTTGTCACACAGCAACAGAGGAAGCCAGAGGGAGCAGAGGGCCAGGCTTGGCCTTTGATTTTGCTTGTTTGTTTGTTTGTGTCATTGTTTGTTGGTTGGTTGAGAAAAGGTCTTGCTATGCAGTTCAGGCTGGCCTTGAACTCACTATGTAGCCCAGGCTGGCCTCAAAGTCATAGAGATCTTCCTGCCTCAGCCTCTGGAGTACTGGGATTACTGGCATGCACCCCCACACCTGGCTTCCAGCCTGCCCTTTTATGGCAATGTCTCTGGAAACCTAACCAGGGTCCCACAGATCTACATGGATTCCTTGGAGGAAACCACTTCGCACTAAGCCCACCTCGTAGAGGTTCCACCACCTAAAGCCTCACCACACTCGGGCCTCAGCTAATGCCTAACCTTTGGAGAACACGGGCTGGCTGGGAGATGGTGGCAGCCTCCAGCAGCGGAGGCAGTAGGTGTCAGAGCACAGATTCGCTTGGAAGGTAGAGGTGATGGGATTCTCTGAGCTTCAGAGTTTCGGGCCTAAGCAACTGGAAGAAGGCAGTGGGCTTTCCCTGGCAGCCAGGGGAGCCTGCATGCCGCAGAGGGCAAGGCAGGGAGGGCAGAAGGCTCAGGACCGACCGTGGTAATTTTCAGATGTCCAAGTAAGATGGGGAATAGCCAGCTGGACGTCTGAATCTACGCTGAGAAGTGTGTAGCAATGATACAGCTTAGATATCATTGTCAAGGGACAATATGCATTTATGGTGACCACAAGGGAATGAGATGGAAATGAGGGGGAACCTGAGGATTGAGCCCAGAGGCTCCAAGAGTGGGGT